CCGTAGACACCCGCAATCGACGATACAGTCCTAAAACGTACGACACGATTCTCCTTCTTTGGCCATCACATCCGTCCAATTCGCGCGCCTATAATTGCAGACAAAAGGGCGCCGAACACTGCTGCGCACGTCGCTGTGCGGTTGCCCTCTCTCTGCGATAGAGCTGAATGTGGCGTTGTGGCTCGCGGGAGCATTAGGCATCAGACACTTTGGCCGAGATAACTCTTGGACCCGGTGACACAGACTACACAGGCCACCTTTGTACAGTAGCTGGCATTGCCCTTCGCCGATCGCACGCCAAGACCGCATTGATTAGCGCTAATGCATGTCGATGTTGCCGTCGATCTCCAAATCTCCCTCTGCCGAGGCCACAACGCGCACAGTCAAGCTATCCGAGGACGAGCAAAGCAGCGAGCTGCGCCCAGCGGTTGTGCCTTCTTGTACTAGAATATAGAGCGCGCACATGCGGCTGATTGATCGGCCAAAGAATCGGAGAATCGTGTCGTACGTTTTGGCTGTATCTCCGGGTATTGGCGGGTGGTCTACGATGAAAGGAAACGATTTCGCACGATGATTGGGAATGTACTGTGTACCGATTTCGGAGGCTCAAAGTTGGATGAGTTCGCTAGCTAAATCGTCTACGGTAATTATAACGCGCTATCGTAAGATGACGAATTTCCTTTGTTTCATTGGATTGACCACACTGCCTCCCTATTATCTAGCTCCTGATATTCATATGCAACGTTGCGTACGTAACGTTGTATATGGTGATAGTAGTGGTGATGCGACCATTCTTACACTGGACCAGATTATAGTAGTAAAACAGCTGCGCGGTTTGTGCGGTTAAATTACATATCATACCCGATTTTAGAACCACACTCTTAGAACTGTATGGGATTTTTGGAAAGCAATTGGTGGGAACGAGATTTGCGTTGTTGAGATGGCCTTTGTTTTAAAATATTTTTCAACATCGTCAGGTATTAAACAGTACAGTAAACATGCATATCGATATTCTGGTTTAGCATACAGCCTCTTTGCTGTAACATATATTGTTTGTTATGTGCTCGGCGGCATGTAAGCACAAAGAACCCTGAGGATTGTCCTTACGTAGGGCTGGGGACGTAGCCTTAAATAAATGACAAGCTCTGCTACCAAACTGGGATACGTTGGACGTCAAATTTTTGCTTCATGAATGTCAGCGCGGCAGCGGTTATTAAAAGACTATCTTCACCAGCGAATAATTGAAAAAACTGCATAAGTCTGGACATTGAGGTCTCCAAGTTAGGCGAACTGTTCTGCCGAATTACTTTCCCGGTCGACAACAATCACCATTTTGTGGTTGCTTATCGGGAGCATAAAACAGCAGCATAAACAACAAAAACGTGCCGCCCACTCAATCTTCGATTCCCGACAATGAAATATTGTTTAAACGGTTCCCACAAAAACCAAAGTGCCAGTAAGTTAATGTAAGATGCGAAATATTATAGATCTGCGCCTCCCGTCTCCGGGTACCTACCTATCTCTTCAAATATATTAATAAAGGTAACTACCCCCGTAGTAGTGTAGCACGACAGCGTTCTGCGTCTTCGCTAGAGCCAAACACATCAAACGCACAAGGTATTGGTTGACATACATACTGTAAAAACGAAATATTCCTTTTTGAAATGGCCATTCCCGGCAGAGTCTGTGGCACCCACTCTATATGTTGGTAGAAAAAAAAAGAATGTGATACCATCTTGCCTTGTTGCGCGACTGATCGTATTCTCATGTTTGAGACTCCGTGTCAATACGTCTATATAGCTGACTACGAGCGATATTACACATACCTATGTTCTGTGGTAGCGCGTGTTCGTCTAATTAACCATGTGAGCGTTCGCGGGTGTATAGATCACTTCGAGTACGGATTTTAGAGATTAAAAATTCTGAAGTATTCAATTCGTTTCGCCCTATTCGTCGTATAGCATGGTGCTCGAACCCCTGACTCATGCAGCACAATCACCCTAGTCCTTTTGAACTAACTGCGATCTATATCCTTCTCCCAGAATGCTTAGCGTACAATTTCTACATGCTCTTTAATCAATACCTCCACGTACTCTTAACAAATCATTTTGGGTATCGCAGTTGTTCAGCAACTCTCTTAGTCAGCTGAGTGTGTGTTTATTAACCAGTCTGTCGTTCCCAACCTGGCCGATCACCTTGTGACGTGGTCGTTACTGGTTAGATGAAGTGCTCCTCTCTCATCGTAGTCTTTGTTATTCTCTGTGTCAGTTCTAATGCTCGCACAGGAAAACTGACACTCACTCACAATCATCCCTACTTTTGCTATGGCTTTATATCATCTCCTAACTTTACCTCTTGAATTATGAACCCTGCTGATAGAGCTGTAAATCTAATTCTCTGCAACTATATGATATCCCGTTAACTCTACATATATCGCTAACCTTTGTATAGCCACGATTATTACCAGATCAGATAACTATTCAGTACATTCCCCTGGAGTTGTTGAGTATTTTTCAACTTACAACGTTTCTATTTGCTCTCGCACCTATGTTTGACTACTTTCAATAGTGTACTATCTGTATCTCAACATTATTCCTTGCGCTCTAACAACCTGATACAAATATTATCTCAAAAATCATTGTTGACTAAGAAATGATCGTGATGTCATAGACAAATTCTCTCGTCCTGCTCCTCTCTCTCCTCTCTCTCTCCCCGCTACTTCCTAAACCATAAGGCCATGTATCACCATTCTTGTATCTCCGAATTAATCTTGGTTTACTAGTTTTCCGTGCTTAACTTCGTGTATAATGCTGCTTTGGGGGGACTTCCAACCACACCCTCTTGCAACTCTTGTTCCCGTATACTAATTTCGGCACTTTACAAACCTGCTACGTGTTACTTACACACAAAGCAATAAGGCTCTACACCGAGCTTGAGCTTCGTCAGCTTGCCAGGTGGCTGCTTTACTGCGAAAAGTAAGAGGAGCGCACACGGGCCACCTGTTCATGAATTTCTTTTCCATTTTTTTTTCTTGAGTGCCTTTTTATAATTTTGTAGACAACATTGCTTGCTAAAACACTCTCCCTACCCAAAATTTAGGTGTCATGTATAAGACACAAATCTGCGCTTAGCAGCGAAAGACGATGTTCGCGCCAATCAATCAAAACAAACCGAAGTAGATGCAGTTAGTGTCACTAATCTAGATTCCAGTAACAAACGGCAATACTAATACTATCCCTCCGTACAACATATACAAGATCAATGATAGAATTAAATGCCTGTCTAAGGCAAACATAGTCAAATGGTAGTTAGCTATTACATAGATCGTTGTCAATTTGCCTGGATCCACATCACCGAATACAATTAAATCGGTATACATCAGGACGCTAATAATGACAACATATAATTTGGCTGCAATTAAAAATGAATGACAAAATAATGTCAATAATGGCAAATAAATGACCAAAATTTGTCTGTTGCCCCTAGATTGAAATATCGCTCTACCTTCACCCATCATAATAAGTTACATAACAACCTAAAGGCAATAACGTAATACCTGCAGCTCAATCGTGAGATACGGAAGACACCTCCGGCCTACCTAGCCGGTAGACGCGTAAGGTTTCTGTTTCACATCTCCACACTCCCTAATGAAACTAACGATAATTACTATAGGTTGATCTTGACCTGCCAAAATTGCAACCACCGAGGTGCCACGGCGTATGATGTCATGCATCGCACTGACACTCGATATCATATACTATCCCAGATTCTATAATCGTTTTAGATCCTAGAGAGCGGTGGCTCTCTTACCTAACTTACGTAGCTGAGATCTAATCACTTCCTAAGTTCCTAAGGCCCAATAACGTGAATACTGGGGGGACGGGCGTTACGGCTGAAACTTGAACTGCCCAACAACGCACTTACGAACGAACGGAAACTTGAACAAATTGGATGAGCCGCTTCACTTTCTCCAATCGCAGCTATGCGACTTCAGCTGCTCGGTGCGTCTGTGTCGTCGTGTAGTGCAGTTGCGCCCGCCAGCTTCGTGCGCACGCCGTACGCATTGAATGGATTGAGAATCACTTCAAAAAATTGCCCTGGAATCCGGATCACGACCCAAATCTAAATCGATTGGGTTCTTGGCCAAACCAACCCGTCCACAATTTTTTTCAATCAGAAACCCCGTCCCAATTAGAACTTGTCTTGGGTATCGTATGTGATTTATCGGCAAAGATGTCCACCCGACATAGGTTGACAGGTGACTAACATGCCGCAACCAATGCAACAAGCACACGCAACACCGACCGCAAACGTGACGCGAGTAGAAATACAGAACACGAAGAGAAAGACCCTGCGCATAGTAGGCAGAGGATAATAAGAAAAAGCTCAAGGAATCAAAAAACAATTGATTTGTAGAGAGCTGTTTTGCGTTCTCTCCACAACGATGACACCACAGCAGAGCAGTGAGTCCATAATAGTATATTATTTATAATATAATGTATATTATATATAGTATTAATAGAGTGCATAAGTATAGTATAAGTACAGACGACGGATAGAAGATTGATATACTAGTATAAATAAGTGAATTCAGAGAGAGAGAGACGAGTCCGAGAGAGAGGAGACGAGAGAGAGGAGAGGAGAAGAGACGACGACTGAGACGGACGACCGAGACCGAGAGATCTGCCTCCGCCTACCCCCGCGAGGGAAGAGAGAGAGACGAGAGAGAACGAGAGAGACAGAGAGAGAGAGAGAGACGCCGAGAGAGCGCGGAGAGAGAGGACGGAGAGCAGATGAGAAGAGAGAGCAAGAAAATGAAGAAAAGAAAGAGAGAGAGAGAGCAGAGAGAGAGAGAGAGCAGAGGAGAGAGAGAGAGAGATTGAAATTGGAAGGCCCCCCCCAGTGCCCCCCCGCTGAAAAAATCCTAGCTACGCCACTGTATGTATGCGTGTGTATGTTACGTTATACATACTATATGGCTCTCTCTCTACACTGGGCAGGAAGCTCTGGACCGTCAGTGGCGCCTAATGCACCATCCACCACCAAGTGCGCAGATCACGACGAGGCACAGCTGAGTGGCAATCTCGCCGTGCCCTGCATTGGTGGCTGCATGAAATACAAGGGCATGCGTGAAGGTACATAATGAGCACACGTGCAATCACACAATATTATCTTGCATTTGTTCGTTCCTGTGTGCACGCTTGCACAAATAAAAAATATAAAATAATAAATATATAATAAAAAAATAAAAAAATGTCTATGTGCGTGCGTGTTCCGGCGCGCCGTGTTCATGCATGTGTGCACATGTTTTATGTGTGTATATATCAGGCAAATTTTTCTCTCTAGACCAGACATTTATCATGAGGCTCTGTTTTAACAACACGCTCTTCTCCGTGGCAAAGAGCAAATGCCAGGACTCGGACACATATGACAAGAAGAAGATCACGATGTGCCTATGTAATGAACCGAACTGTAACACGGCCAGTACCTGGTCTTACTCGCCCTTCTTGCTGCTGCTCACTGTTGCTCTCCTGGTAGTCAACACTGTGAAGCCATAAATATCAACATATCAATGAGTTGATATAACTTCATATATATATGCATATATTAATTTATATTAATTTATATATATATATATATATATATATTATATATATAAGTATTTCTCATCATTGATGGTAGTGTGGCGACTTACTCTCTAACCGCTTCGCTTCGTTTGACTTTCGCTTTCTCTCTCTGTAGGGGTTTATGATGTGTCACCGCCGCGTTAAACCCGACTACAAATTAGATCGATAGCTATATATAGATATATGCGCCGTGCATCGTGTCAATGCAGTCAAACAACAATAGTGATGGAGAGTAAAAACGCTACGCTGTCTACGCTGTGGCGGAGGTTTGCTATCTCCGATTGCTCTTGTGTATATATATCAGGAGCTAATAATGACTAATTTTTGTCATTATTTGCCATTATTTGACATTATTTTGTCATTATTTATGACAAATATTTGTCATTATTAGCTCCTGATATATATTTATGTATGTGTGGGTAAAGTTAAAGCAGCTACCCCTGACAGGCTTATTACTTTACTTGTGTCGTTAGTCTTGTTAGATCTTTACTATCAAGCTCCATAATTTCTTTGTTTGATTGATTGCAATCTCTTGCTGTGCAGTTTTTTTATACAACAAATTTTGTAGAATTTTTTTTTATAAGCAATTTTCAATTAGTAAATGAGATTTATTATAGAGTAGTTAACTAGTCTGAAAGAGTGTTGTATACATGAACATATGGTTGTAGATATACGCGGTGTATTTCTCAGAGAATACATATAATGACATTTACAAATGTCTTATGACCATACGATCCATTTTTTATTCAACAATATTTTAATATATATTTGTATAGTTGTTAACGCAAGAATATGTTAGATACAGATAGGTAATATTGAAAGTAGCAAAATTGATAGAAATTGATGTAAAATCTGGAGAAGAGATGTTACTATCTGTAATAATGTATAGGTTAGAATGTAAGTAACAAACTGTATCGTCACTCACTCACTGTTCATGCATACAAATGAATTAGATGTGAACAGAAAATGTGCAGAATTAAGAGTTTCTTGTTTAGCTGCTTACGTGCATCTAACTACGAACACAGTGATGCCTTGCAGCTGGTAATAAATTATACCATTTTAATAAGCGAGTGTATATTATATGCATTGAATTATTCAGATCTTAAAGCTAGGATTGCTCATGTTGTCACCAACAGTTTCCATATTTTCTCAACCGTACTGATACTTACCGATACTCGTTGTATAACACCAAATATACATACACCAAAATAGCTAACATGTCATAGAACACTCGGACAACATTCTTTTCACCAATATGTGCACCGATCTGCATTTCAAATTAGATCGTTTACATATTATGTCAACAAACCTTGCGCGTGATTTTTGCTCTAGCGAGACCAGAACGCTGTCTCTACACTACTAGGGTAGTTACCTTTATATATATTTCAAGATAGGTAGGTACCATACGACCAGTCTATAAATATTTGCATTACATAACTACGTGCACTTGTTTTGTGGGACCGTTTAAACATTTCATTGTCGCGAATCTGAAGATAGTACGTGGGCGCACGTTTGTTGTTCATCTGCTGTTTTATGTCCGATAACAGCACAAATTGTGGTGATTGTTGTGCCGGAGTAATCGGCAAAAAGTTCACTAATTGGTGAGACCCAATTTGTCTACACTTATGCAGTTTTTCAATTTTGTGTGTGAGATAGTCTGTTTAATAACCTGCTGCACTGCAATTCATGAGCAAAAATTTGACAAAACGTGTCAAGTTCGGTCAGAGCTTTGTCATTATTTTAGCTAGTCACCCTACGTAAACAACACCCAGGGTTCTTTGTGCTTACATGGCTGAGCACTAAATTTACAGCAAACAGGCTGGTATGCTAACAGAATACATAACCATTTTACTTACTGTTTAATACTGACGATGTAAAATAATATTTAAAAAAAGGTCCATTCAACAACCAAATTCTTCCACCAATTTGCTTCAAAATCCATACAGTTGAAGAGTTGGTCTAAATCGGGTATATATGTAATTTAACGCACAACCGGCAGCTGCTTTTCACTATATACTGTCCAGTGTAACAAGTGCGCATACCCTACCTAACCATTACAACGTACGTACGCACGTATGCATATATATCAGGAGTTGATGAGGCACTACAGAGTTCCCCTACACCTGGAAGCTGCTTGCTCTGCATCCACAATTTAACGAGCAAGTTTCGTGAATCAGAACTAGCGCATAACGTGCGATACGAATAACACAACACAATTGGTGGTTGTCCCAGGTGACATGATCTGAAACCCAGCATGCATTAGAGACATTTGTCAGGTGAAACCAAGTGACAAATCAGATTCATTGTTCCTCAGGTGTCTGCAGGTGAAATCACGTGTCACGTGACCACACACGACAAATCAGATGCATTCGTCAGGTGTCACGTGACCACACACGACAAATCAGATGCATTCGTCAGGCGTCTGCATGTGAACCTCGACGGTGGCTTCTTCGGATGTAATGGACGACAAGTGGCCGATCGTTAACTTTTGCTGATCGCCCGTCTCCGGCCATACGGCTCTCCTCCCGAGAATTTGCACAGTCTGGAGCCGCGCCCTATTGTATGCGGCTATCAGACTGAATCCAAACCTCCTGCAACACAACAGAAGGATTCCGTAGACGTCGGAGGGAAAATTAGTGCTCTCAGTGGTGTTGTCAATCGGTTGTAATTTCGTAATCGATCATCGGTTGCACCCGAGTAACCTATTTTTTTTCAACCTATGAAATCGATTATGGATTTCAACCAAGCGCTTGGTTCGAGCCACTGTTCAACCGATGATCGAGTATAATCGATGATCGTGACATCACTAGCTCTCAGACACACATTTGACATCTGTGTTGAGGAGTCACGCGTTTATCCTTATCGGTCCTACCCATTATTAGTTACGAACGACCGACTGGCAGGCATTCGGACTTGAAAACGGGCAGAGATGACATTTACTGTATACGCCATATTTTTCGCGTACAGATATATTTTCGCAAATTCAGACTTGACGGACAATTTCGCGAGTGGTTAATTTCGCGGTCGGTGAATTCCCGAATCAGTGAAGAACAGTGTGTTGCCATTTTCGCGGTCGGGGATGCGTTCGCGAAATTCGCGAAAATTAAAGCGCGAAATCGTATACAGTATTCTATTATATTTTCCCATCATGCTACGTTACCTCATGCATACGTATTCGACCATCCCGGCGCCACCTATCGCGAGGATCTGTAAGAACGTCTGGTCGACGGTGCGCAGTATGACGACAGAGCCGACGGGCGCCCCGGCCATCAGCAGCAGTAGCGCCACCGTCTCCGTCCAGTGCCGCTGTGTGAAGATCACAGGCAGCCAGAAACACCACACTGCTCCTTCCTTCACATGGTACTGCAGACAGATCAAAATCAGACCGATCAGTGACACAGCAATAGTCCAGGCAATCTGTGGTTTGACCTGGACAAAATGCCCACATGCCCGTGTCTCTTGAAACCCTCCCAAACAACGGATCAAAAAAGTAGGAAAAAGAAAGTTGGGGAAAATTCCTAATTTGCATAAATTAAGAATGGCCACTTTTGCCCACATTTTCAGTGATAATGTATGCACATTGCACAGACCCCCCAATATTGGTACAAATTGAATCATTTTCACATAACATTTTGCAAGGATATGTTCACTGAATATGTTTTGCAAATAATGCAAACAGTGTATAAAAAATGTACTGCAGACAGATCAAAATCAAACCGATCAGTCATGCAGCAAGCGCACCACTCCTCGTCATATCACAGGATAACCCCCTCGCCCAGGAATAGTTCTTCCGACACGAATTAAAATTTATTGAAAAAGGTCTTTTGTATTAAAGATACTGTCAGGGTTACGGACAGGTACCTTGCAAAGGGCATTGCAACATAACTGCTTATCAAATTCAATAAAACTCATATCTATTTCATAAAAGAGAAGTCTCTCTATGCTCTCGATGTAAATAATCAAAAAAACTTCATAGCTAATTACGAGACAACCTATGATCTGTTTCACCCCCCCCCCTCCTGCCTGAGGGAAATGAAAGTCCTCTCCTCCTCCTAGTGTCCAAGGAAAGTCCAAGGAACATCTAATGTACTCTAGTGTCTGTAATGTCCAAGTTCACAAACGGACAAAAAAAAGACAACAGAACAACAACAACAAACGAACAAAAGGAACGAAAAAAGGCAAAAGGTTGACAAGTTCTATGCGGTGGCCGACGCTAACCATCTGCTTGCAGACTTTGCAGTGAAGGTCGTCGGGAGCGAGGCTCTCCATGAGCCAACGACGGAGGCAGTCGTGATGGACGACGGCGACGTCGCCACGGCAACCGCACGGCTCGATCAGTTCGCCTGCATCACGTCGCTCCATGTCATAGCAGATCCAGCATTCCTTACTCGTCGACGACGGCTCACCTGCCAAACACCAAACAACACGCAATAAGTGATCGGTGGCCACCTTGTGGGGACGAGTGTCCGATGACCGATACGAATGTGAAATGTACATGAGAATCATGTGAAATCATGGTTCATACAGTACTGAAATTTTTTCCAAGGACTTTTCAAGGACATTTTATCGGAAATTCAAGGACATTTTATCAGACATTTTATTGGAATTCATACACAGAACAAAACATACCTGGATTAATTTAATAACCACATTCTTAATCACTGCATGTCACCTCTAAAACTTACCTGGATCACATTAATAAACCCTTCTAAACACTTCTACTTCTACAACATACCTTGATTTACTGACTGATTTTACTGACTTACTGTAATTTGTGATCATCATTTAACTGTCTATCGTGTCTATAGCTTTTTAAGCTCATTTAACGCACTTTTTATTGAGGTTTGCACATTATTGATAGTACAACATTTCTTTTTATTACAGGAAAGGATTCTTTCTAAAAATTCAAAGACATTTTCATGAAATTCAAGGACATTTTCATGAAATTCAAGCACTTTTCAACATTTACATCATCAACATTTACTAAATTCAAGTACTTTTCAAGGACTCCCCTCAAATTCAAGGACTTTTCAAGGACTCCCCTCAAATTCAAGGACTTTTCAAGGACTGTGCGAACCATGGAAATGTACATGAGCGGCATTACCTTACACTGCTCATAATAATTACGCGCGTTTAAGTATTTATTATCTCACTTATTATATTATTCAGTAATTCCCAAAAATGAAAGATGCGATGGACACATTTTCCTCGCTTGTTGGTATTATAAATAACGTCACCAATAAAAGTGTATATAGTTTGCAGGGTATGGTTAATAGATGGCAGCACATACCAGCAGCAGATGTGGTCGGAGCTGTGTTGTAAGTCGCGTACTTCCTCTTAAGCAGACGATCGGTCTCGGAGTCTTCCTGCCGATCCAGATCCAGATCCAACTGCTTGAGGATCTTCTTAGGATTTAGGATCCAAAGCTGCTCCGGACTGTAGTAGACAAGAGAAGCGTGAGAAGAACATGAATTCTTCATCGGTGCCATCTCTACGGTGAAGCATTTCGGTCGCTGTCATGATTTCCAAATACAAGTGATGTTTACAGACCACCTCACCCATCAGTGTTAGCCCAGTCCTCCTGTTCAAATGCTCTGACGTATAATGAATAAAATAATTAATCATGTCCAAAGGCCTTCTGTGAAGCTCGGCTGAAAGCAATGCGTCACCTCCGAGCGATTCATGACGTGTAATATCTTGCAGTTCTGTGTTGTCTCTACCACCAATGTTAACTCTCCCCTACTCAACACACCCAACAGATAATCTTACCTGCTCCAATTCCACAAGCAACATGGAAACCAGAGTGGTAAGACAATATTTCACTATATTTTTTTGGATTGAGCATTTCTGAGCAATAACTTTAGCTCTCCTCTACTCAACACACCCAACAAATAATCTTACCTGCTCCAATTCCACAAGCAACATGGAAACCAGAGTGCAACTCCCAGTTCAGCAACACGAAACAAGACATCATAGCAATTTCTTTCCCGTATCTTGAGCCTGCAAAGATGAGACATAGTTACACACAAGTATAGCAGAGTACATCGACTACTAACACTAATGACTAACCACCTATCAATTATCAGTCCCCGTAAAACTTTCACGACGCAATCATGACTGGTACCTATCTTTAAAAGTATACAAAGGGATTTAACCTAGTGTAGACAGGGTTCCGCGTGAGAAAAAATCACGCACTAGATTTGTTGACATATGTAAACAGTCCAAGCTAAAACGCAGATCGGTGCACATATTAGTGGAAAGCATGTTGTACGAGTGTTCTATGACATGTTAGCCTTACTATATATATTTGGTGTTATGGTTAGTTGGTAAAACCATGAGAAATCCTCGCTTTAATACGTTACGCCTCATCAAGGTTCTTCATCACACACAAAACTATAAACTAATTATCTGGCTTGCAAGCTATTCGAGTGGCTACCTGCAGCTACTCAAATTTGATTTTATCTGCAAGAATAAAATGCAATTAAAATGCAATTAAATTAAAATGCAAGAATTAAAATGCAATTATCTGCTCTCTCTGGCTGAAGATCACGATCACAAAGACCTAAAGACAAAACTAGGGCGGCCCGTAAGGTGGTCCTTTGTCAACCACTAACATTTGTCAACCCCCATGATGTCTTAATCGAGCAATGTGATCGTGAACAGCCAATAATAAAACTAAATTTTCAAACCAGGTTATCAAAGTAAAAACTAAACAACTGACCTTTGCTTCCACTTGTCACCCATGATGTCCCACACAAGGAACATGATTGTGAAGACTTGCAGGCCAGCCTGCACAACAAGACCGAGACGCGACATGTGCAGCTGCGTGGTGTTCACCCACTTCTGTGTGTCCACCCGATTCGACCAGGCTCCGTGTACCTACCGACATAGTAGCATACGCGTGGAAATTACACGTGAAATCCACGTTTGATAAGACGTATGTGTCAGGGTTCATAGTAGTAAGACACATGTTGAAATAAGGACTTATAAGACCCTTTTTGGAGGCCAAAATAAGACTTTTTTACGCGATTTCTGATAGATCACCGACTATTAAAGTACACTAATAATATTTATATACACAATTGCACAGCAGATTTAATTATTCCGTATTATATATACAACAACTCTGTCGAGAACAGTTTATAAAACCTAGGGTCCTTTGGCAAAAAATAAGGACTATTAAGTACTTTTCTAAGATTTCACCAAAAATAAGTACTAATAAGGGCCCTTATTTTATTTTTGGCAAAATAAGTGCTTATAAGACTTTGGAAGACCCGCTACGAACCCTGTGTGTATGTGTATTATATACCTGCACACATGTATAAATAACACGTCTGTCAACTCAGACAATGATAAATGCGTTATGCATGCAGACGACAGTACATACCCTAAAGTACGTCTCCACGCCATAGACAAGGAAGAATATCACAGCAACAAACATCAGGAATGCAAATATTGCATTCACGCAGAACGAAACAAGGCCCTGTAACACAAAACACCGAGCTTTCAATGCATTGATCAACAACACACAGACATTATTACGAACAATCACTCAATAATTCACGGATCCCAAGTTCCCCAACCTCATAATTGACCTCTAGTGTCTGGAATGAGTCACAGATAGTCTTAGCTAATTACTGCTGTGTAGGCCATCTAAAAGACCATGCTTGGCAACAAGGTACCACAAAGTCAACAACTTGGAGTGCAAGCGTAAAAAAAACATGCAAAACCCAGAGTAACTTGATCTACCCAGCAAACAGATTGAAGAGGGTACGGCACGCGTCTCGCAGCCTTGTGAGGCATGCGTCTCGCAGCCACGCGTCTCGCAGCCTTGTGAGGCGCGCATCTCGCTCTCACCTGCACGTCGCTGTCGGTGATCATGTCCGTGGCGATGAAGCGCAGCATCAGCACCAGGTAGACGAACGCGTTAAACACGTAGAACGAGACGAGCGACTTGCTGAGGAAGCGCGGCCGGTCTAACCTGACGTCGTTCAGGTGAAACGCCTGCGAACACGCGACGACAACATGGTAAACGAACGCGTTAAACACGTAGAACGAGACGAGCGACTTGCTGAGGAAGCGCGGCCGGTCTAACCTGACGTCGTTCAGGTGAAACGCCTGCGAACACGAGACGACAACATGGTAAACGAACGCGTTGAACACGTAGAACGAGACGAGCGACTTGCTGAGGAAGCGCGGCCGGTCTAACCTGACGTCGTTCAGGTGAAACGCCTGCGAACACGTGACGACAACATGGCAACGTGTTAAAACGCTGTAAAAATGCTCTCGCAGCAAAATGCATAGATATACCTACTGTGAGCTCGTCCATGTTGCAAAAATTCACTACAACTCATTTGTGTTGCTACTTTCATAACATTTCTTCACAAAATCCACAACATGGCAACAGGGGTAGAAATTAACTTTTGAACAAGAGAGTCCTTGACCTTAAAAAGAGGGAGTTCACAGCAAAATGAGGGAGTCCGCAGTCTGAAGTTCAAAACTAAAGATATTAACAATAATGCATACATGTGCTTATTTTGAAGATTCATGCGGTTGCACGATACGGCAAGTGCCCTTATTATCGCGGGACGACAACATGGCAACGTGTTAAATTAACTACGTCACAAATTTTCTATGGTGTATATTTGTAAAAAGATTTGTTGCAATTTTTTTACATGAAAAGTAAGTACTAACTGCACTAAATGCATCCTCAAATTCTTACCTGATGAGATTGTTTTCCAACTAGTTAAAAAGCCAAAAAATCTGGGAGATTTGATATATTTATCACGACATTAAATGCTTGTTATGTGCTATGTATGAGTCACGAGTGTTTGTTCACATCGAATGGAATAGCAAAATAGGAAGTATAATACAGCAATTTAACTATAAAAAGTGAACAGAATCACTTACATTTTGTGAAAAACTGGACAGAATCTTTTTTACTTTGACTATGTAATTACGGTGACGGCATCCCTTTAACGTGACGGCGAGGTATACAGCTATAACCGATGTAGCTTGGTATACAGCAAGCACACTTATGGCAGGCGACCCCCTCTACATTGCGCATGGGCAATGAAGATGGAAATCAAGGTCAGAGTTACGATGCGCCATGCTAGACATGCCCATGCTCGAGCTCAATGTACCTGTTGGTAGCACTCGACTAGTCTAATCTGATTATGAGACTCACCTCAGCCCACAGACAAATGACTAGCGATACTCCTGACAGCAGGAAGGGATAATAGGCCAGCAGCAGGTTGGACGCCCACTCTACCCGTATAGTATTCTGCAACAGAGAAATGTGTAAATTAAATAAAAAATTCTGCGAGTGAGCCATCGCAGAGCATGAGATTGCATGGTGCCAGAGGAAATGAATTTCCGAACGGAAGAATGACAGGAGATTGCAGTCAGTGATGGTGATGTAAGGTAGCAGTAGTTTATGAATATTTGGGGGATAGCAGTAGCAACATGTTGGTTTAGATGTCATGGAAATGCTTAAAGCATTTATAGCACTCCACCTGAACTAATGGCAGCAGTACAACATTTTTAAAATCAATACCCATGTCTCAATACAGCACTGCAATTATGACACCTTAATTCTATTATTAAAAACCTATATTTTCTCTCAGTAGATCATATATATCTGATAAAGGCACTGTTGTTCTATAGAGAGTTCTCGAGAGTGCCACACTCTGACTGGGTGAGAATACATTTGTGCCGAGACAGTAAATTACTTGACTAATAATTACAGCGTTGACTTACTTTAGTCACGTAGCAGAAGATGCAGATCATAGATAATATCAGTATACTTTCATTGGAAACTAGATACTGTAGACGATACTGACTTACTTTGGTTGAGAAGTAGATGCCACGGATGGCGCTGGCTAAGATCACAAACACATAGAGTAGCTTCTGGCTGGTGACACTCACAGCAGCTGTCCATGAAGCCTTCTGCTGCTTCATATAGTCCGCACGCATGCACATAAACTGCAGGGCAAATTAAATACCAATCAGAAAGTTAGCATTAACAATTCTTTATGCCGATTTAAAACCAAGGCAGAATGTAGAATAGACTCGTTCATGTATTTATATGATTTTGAGTAGAATATAACCTTTGGAATTTAGAATGGCACTGTAAATACATTACACAACGCTTACTTTATCATCGTAGTACATTTTTAAAATCAACGATACAAATTCTTTACACGTTTTATGAATACGAAAACTACAGTAATAAATTACGCGTTTTAGTATATATAAAAGCTTTTCAGTAGTAAAAATCTCTGTTTTTTTAAAGTAGAAACAAGTGCACAGATGCACGTGGGTTACTCTTGCAACTGTAAACTGATGGTAATCAGTACGATTCTAATATACCCGATTACTCTAGACTTCTTTTATTATACTAGTAAAATTCGTCATAGTTAGAAAAATAAAGCTAACAATTCATCATTTAGATGCAAGGCTAAATAAAACAGTTCATCGATACATATATAAATAACACAGGATGTGTGTCAAGCAAGGAGATCGAGTATTACTCAAGAGGCGCATACCAGCTGTATTATCGAGACTGCTGACAGGAAGTAGAATACTGCGCCAAAACTAACGAAGTATCGCATGTTGACGTCTGCACAGGTTCCTCCACTGAACTGCACCTGTTGAATTATAATAAGTGCTCATAGTATTGCGTCACATCCTACCGGCTGGACCAGTGGCAGTAAACCGTAGAAATTCTCGGCGATATACAAAGAATACAGCCGTGCCACACGTTGTGCAGGCGTGTTTCTAAACGTGGTACGAGGTAAGCATGTGTAAGCTGCCATATGAATAAGTTAGGCTATGTTACCTACAGTTTGATCACATTACATGTTAGCACCATGTCCCGACTGATGTAAATTTGATTTTACTGTTCACATCAACTTTTATCTGCTATTGTAATATTTAAAAATGCAGAGAAATCTTGCATATTTTTGATAAATTTTATATATGGTAGAACTAGGCACGATGGCCTATACAAGTATTAAATGCTGTTACCTCTGCATGCATGTTAGTGTTTCGCCTGGCCAAAAAGGTCTCTAAGGTGGTAATTTTTTTAGGGGTGTTTGCGTGTTTCGAGGTCCTAGCAAAGTGAGCACCGCAGGTGAAAAAAATGGATTTTTTTTTAAATGGTGCAATTTGGTGCATTCTAAGCTATATTTTGATTTTAGTTCAATAAAGTGTAGTTTATTGATGGAGAAACAGTGATTTTCATGAGCATTTCTCGCGTTCTTTTGTGGGCTAAATCTCTCAGACACCGGTCTATAAAGGACAGCCTTTGGGGTTTTCCTTTGCTGACCTCTATAAGCAGGCTTGACTGTATCTACACCCAGAAGTAAGAGTTGAGACGTAGTGGAAATGAGCAGCTTTCCGCATTGACAGTAGCAGTCAAGAATGATCGATTGAACTCTATTTATACTGCAGCAATTCACGAGTGACTGGCTGATCGGCTGTGTGGCTAGCACCTAGCTTGTCTATGAGCGTGGCTGCATACATACAATACCCGCACATTCACCACTCTTACCAACTGTTCAGTATGTGAAGTGAATAATATATGGGTCACTGGCTGATAGCCAGAAGGCCTAAAAATTTGCAACTGAATAGATACTGGTGCAAAGTTTGACATGCTGACCAGTGGCCACATTGCACCCCAGTTATAGACAAAAGGATGTAACGTACATGCACAGAACACAGAGTGACAGACACACGCACGCACGCACGCATGCACAGGCGCACGCACGCACGCACGCACGCACGCACGCACTCACGCACAGGCGCATGCACGCACGCACGCACGCACGCACGCACAGGTGCACGCACGCATGCACGCACGCACGCACGCACGCACGCACACACACACACACACACACACACACACACACAAATGCATTTATGCCCACAGACCAGTGTGCTACTTTACTTAGTCCATGACATCGTTCGTACATGTATGCATCCTTTCACACGAACTTCAGCAAAAATAAACCGAAAGTGACAAGGTACTTAGTATCTAGGACAAGCACTGGCGCTCACGTTTCTATAAGGCCAAAACAAAATATATGTGTGGTTACCGTTACATGCCGAAACAAAATAGGGTAGGTAGGTAGGGGAAACATTTTATTTTCTTAAAATATTTTACTTTCGAACCATGTCCGAAAGATGTGCGTTGTGCCTTTTGAAGCAGGAACTGTCGAATTCATATTTATTTTATTTATTTTTTGACTAAAGAAAATTGACAATAAAATGTTTAGGGTCGCTGGGAAAAAATAGGGTCGGTCGGGAAACCGTAACCACACCTATATTTTGTTTTGGCCTAACACAAAAAAGGTCACACCTGCGTCATTCACTCTCTTTGAGTCATACCAATAGCGGTACTAGAACGACACCGATGTACACCACAGGGCAACATTATGCTCACTTTCCCACTGCAGTGGTGGCGTGCACAAACCTGATAACATTCCACTCTGCCTAAACATAGCCCTGAAGAACCCGGGCAATAACTCGCAGCCTCAGCACCAGAAGAAGCTACCACTAAAACTAACACTTTTTGCTTAACAAAGACAGCACCGAAAAGGACCTAAAGGGTAAATTAAGTGACATATTCAAAATAGTTAACCTTTGCATTTATCAGTAGTGACAATGTAGCCAATGACATAGACCAATGACCTATAAGGGTCTAAATAGAATATGAAACCTGATAGCTCCCCCCACCGTGAAACTTTATGGCCTGACCAGTGATCCTGCGTATTTTAGTACTAGACCGATTATATCCCACGCAAAGGCTGGTGGCCCCAAGCACCTGTGCTACAGCTAATTTTAGCTCTTGGTGTATGTGACAGTCGTAGCATCGGCATTACAGATTATTGAACGATGTAAACACAGGTGAAATGAGCTAGAGAATATCAGAAGTAGATAATAGGGAAGGAGTGTGACTTCAATAAACAAGGGAAGTTCGTCATTTACTAGCCTTAGAATACCTACGATTTCCTACGCGTAACTCAACCAACTTGAGCTCAAATGGTACACAGTACATTCGCCTAGCATCGTGCGAAATCATTTCCTCGTATACACCTGCAATCCGGAGATACAGACTAAAACGTATGACACGATTCTCCATTCTGTTGCCAGCAAACCGAATGTATAACCTGCCTAACTTGAAACAATAGGCAGCTACTAACGACTCTTGCACACTCTTGTGCCCTCGGCGATGCAGTGTGGCTCGCTGGGAAATTGGAGCTGGAGCTGCTTATGATTGCGGTGGGCGTGCGTGCGTGGGGGGCATACCAGCTGTAAATAGGTCAAAGATTACATCGCCGAGTGTTGCGTCGATGTCCAATCTCCCAGCGAGCCACACCGCATTGCCGAGGGCACAAGACTGCGCAAGAGTCGTTAGTAGCTGCCTATTGTTTCAAGTTAGGCGGGTTATACATTCGGTTTGCTGGCAACAGAATGGAGAATCGTGTCGTAGGTTTTAGTCTGTATCTCCGGATTGCGGGTGTATACGAGGAAACAATTTCGCACGATGCTAGGCGAACGTACTGTGTACGATTTGAGCTCAAGTTGGTTGAGTTACACGTAGCAAATTATAGGTATTCTAAGGCTAGTAAATGACGAATTTCCCTTGTTTATTAAAGTCACACTCCTTCCCTATTATCTACTTCTGAAAATATATAGCACTTCAAATTCCATACTAATGATGTAGAAATGAAATTAGAAGCCAGTTGTAGGAAACATCACGTCTCACATGTCATACGTTTTGCACATGAAGTGTTTCTGACAATGGATCCCAAAACAACGCAATCACAATTTGGTTTCTTCAAGTAATCGATTCAAGCGTCGTCGCCTTACCTCGCAAAAACACTTGCCCTCCATACACATGCCATGACCTGAACAGTTGTACAGGCACTGGTCGTAGGTGTGATCGCCCACAGCGCCCATGATTTCCAGACTTCGTTTGATCAGTCGATCCATCCTCGGACTAATCTTCCGCAGCTGTAGCAAAGAAGGTGGTTTAATTGAGATTCATGCTCCCACTGAAATTCTCCATCCCGTGGCATTTTTGTTAGCAACGAAAATGAAACGTAGATGTATTCGGGTCGCTAAGCCACAGAAGACGTTTCTAGATCAATCAGTGAAAGTACATTAGCTGGTACCATATGCAGTGTTTCCACAGGCCAAACAGGTCTGTAAGGTCGTAAATGTTTTTTTGATGTGTTTGCGCATTTCGAGGTCCTAGCAAAGTGCATGTCAACCAAGGCATGTCAACCAGGGGGGTCCGGGGGCATTCCCCCTCCAAACATTTTTTGAAAAAATGGTGCAATTTGGTGCATTCTAATCTAAGCTATTCCGAACACATTGTATGTGATTTTCGTCAGTGAGGCAGTGTTTTGGACAAATTTTTGTGTGGCGGCTGAGAATTTGAGCGAGGCAGCTACCACCTCGCTCGTGTCGATGCAGGGGAAACACTGCTATATGCCACATCACCTTATTCAATCAATGACACTGGGCTTAATTAGCATACAATGCACAACCACTCTCCCTCGTGGAAACCTTAGTAGTTTTATACGTGTGGTATTTTCCTCTGGTATGCATGAACTGGGCACTCACATTGGTAGAATAGCACACAAATGGAACACACTATACGGTTTGTATCACAGGACTGGCGGATGAAAGGGAGTGGAGAGACAAGCAAATAATTCATGAACACATTCTTATATGGTTGCCCTGGTACACTGTTGTAAAGGGCATTTATTATATATACATTATAACAGTTCAATAACTTATGCAGCACTCAGTATATGATGTCCACCAATCAAAGCATGAGAAATGAGTGCATCTAATAAGGTGTACATCTAATGTCATGTCAACAAACAATTTCATACCTAATATAGTGTGTAGCAATGTAATGAATTAATTAGGATAAATGTTTAATGTCAGATTAAAATAAAACAATATTTATGCATTTGTATTATAAGTAGTATCAGTATTACTCATGAGTCAAACTACATGCAGCGCCCCCTTCGTACAACTCAGGATACCACTGCCACAAGACTGGTACAGGATACCACTGGTACTATTTTTCAAGTGGGCGGAGCTCCGGGTTAATCCAACAAATGGCAATCCAATAGCCGCGTATGATTTGAAAGTAGTAAATGGGCACACAATCTGCGCACTATTTCGTATCACTATTTTATCAAATTTTTCATAAAATACCATAATTGTTAAATTTTTAATATCTTTGCAACTTTTATTAGTACAAATCTTATTACATAGGATGTATGAGTAACCTAGCCGCTGTAAAACTTGTGGTAAAAAAGCGTTAGAAATTCTCACGGAAATCTACTTACAAGTGGCAGTGGTGAATTGAGCCAGAGCGAGAGCGCCATCTGTTGTGGAGTTTGCTCATGAGTAATAGCGATGCATTGCATTCTGGGTACACAAATGTATAAGCACACACTTACTCCCAATTACATTGCTGTGGAATCGGAGTTTTCCTAAGGAACTTGCGAGACTTCTCAGGATAAAGTGTAGTGTACTTGTATCAAATAACAGAGTTATAATTCGAACAAGTGAATGAGGAGATACCAAAATGGACACAGTTGTTTGCTTCAGCTGTGATGGTGTAAAAAGAAGCAAGCGTTGCGCGAATTTGTGCTCGCGCTTTTCCACCAGCTCTATCTTTCTGCGAGTTTGTGCACAGTGGTGTGCGTGCGGTGAAAATGTGTGTTGCAGAAAAGCGTCTGCATTTACGTGGCATTATTCGTGAATAGATACATAAAGTACCCTGGTACTATCTAATATGCCGGACCGTACCTCGCCTACTCCACTAACGAGTCTAGGGAGTCGCCTACGCCTACTCCCTAACCCTAAATTAAAGTTAAATCCTTCCCACGCCTTCATACGCATAGCGTATAGCTACAGGCGCATGGGGCAGTGCCTATCTCCGTTTCAGTAACCCTGAGGCCCCGCAGCTGCTTTCACAGTAAATGCTACAGTAGGGGGTTAGTCCACTGTAGCACTGTGAGTTCATTGCCACACTCTATCTCTATTTGCTGAATGCTAAGCAGAGAAGCCATGTGTATAATTTTTTTTGTCTTTGGTATGACCTGGCCGGGAGTTGAACCCCCAACCTCCACATATGAGGCGAGCATTCAACCATTGAGCCATCTCAGTGGTGATTCTTTAACCCTAACCCTATCAAATAGTGACCAGGGTACGTTCCGGTATACCAGACCGTACCCAGGGTACGTTCCGGCATAGCTCTAGTACTATAGCCCGCGTACAGTGACTGCCGCAGGGCTATAGAACATCTTGAACTAGATTTCGCAGCTGCACTAGCTCCCCAAAGTTCCCACGAAAAATCGCTCACAATTTAAAACGCAAAATGATCGGGCTTTTTAACACTTAATCAGTTAATGACTTATCTATCTACGTGGACATCTCACCTATCTTTTTGAACACTTTCCACAACTTTACACTATGTATTTATGCATTTATTCCTCACAAGTCTTAGCACTACTTGCAATTCCGTTTGAAATCCTGTTGCGTACACGCGTTACGTCACCCGAAATGAATAGCTGCTGCCATGTATTTTGCCTACACTTACAGGCTACATTTCGTACTACTACTACTAGTATTAATCATGTGATTATGAGGTTTACGACTGATAGTGATAACAAATATTGGCTTCTAAACTGTTCTATTGTAAGATAATGGCTGTTCGCTTACCGTAAGAATGTAATACTGGTTGTAGTATTACATGTTGAAGAAAACATGGATATGCCATCGAAAACGAGACGAAGGAGTCATCCACACACGAAATACTTGCGACACTAGCGCCGTCGCTGCGATGACGTCACGACTTGTAAAGAAATTTAATAAAATAATGAGAGAATGCATGCAAAGCAAGATTTATAAATCTGTTAACTGTAAAATCATTGACGTATCGGCATTTTATTTGTAAAACTTAAAAAAAAAAAAATTAAATGCTGAAGCTAGACTTTTCCGTCAACTATCAATAGTCAATAGTCACTTGTTTTAGAGTTGCCATGGATTCAGTTATCAAAACAATTATGGATGAAACGAATGGTAATACTGGGAATATTTACTGTATATGTTTTGACATTCACGTGCAGCTAACGCATTCCTCAATACTTTTAATGGAAATGCCTATCATATCTATAAACTTACGTAGAAGGAAACTGCACCAAACTTAGTTATTGAGTCTGCCGAGTGTGTAATTTTAAAATTGTCTCGGCCGTCGCAAATTTCGAGGGGAATGTAACATTAACAATAACAATGTTAAAACCTAATTGAATCTCATGCACATCTTATTCTTAGTCTTACTCTTACTTTGTAAGTCAATATTTATACTCGGTTGCCTACCGAATTTGTGGATAACATCGTGTGCCTATCTCTGGGTTTATGCTCATTGTTATGATTATACGTACAATAATAATATTACTAATACTATTAGGATATTAATAATTATTAATATTATTGTCTATTGTCATTGTTGACAATGACAATATAATGATAATGTACGTATTGTAATTGGTATTAGCTCTAGTAACTATAGCCCACATACAGTTGCCAGTGGCAATTGTACGCGGGCTATAGTTACTACTAGAGCTATAGTAATACTATTACTAATAGTACTATTAATTGTATAGGCCTAATGAGTAATGTAAATGAGTACCGGTAATATATGGTACTCAGGGTTCTCCCCAGGATGAAATTGAAACAGGGGAGGGAGAGGGGGAGGGGAGGGGGAGGGGAGGGGAAACTAGGGGGGTCCGGGGGCCTGGTCGAATCACTGGCAGCAAGAACAAGTCCGCACCTGCAGCTATATACAACACACACGCATCTATTGACTATATATAACAACATTATATATAGGTATATATAACTACTATAACAACTATATCTACTATAACAACTATAACTACTATAACAACTATATATAACGTTGTTAGCTCATCTGACATAGTCAGATGCAGCTTGTAGAATCGCATGATCGTCCGTGCGTCCGTCCGTCCGTGCGTCCGTCTGTGCGTCCGTCAACAGTTGGGCACAAATCTTAACCGCTCGACGTACGGTCACGATATTCGGGACGTGGGGGGGTAATCCGAAAACGAGTTGGGATGTCGAAGCTGGGGGTCAAAGGTCAAAGGTCAAGAGGTGTAAAATAAGGGGGAACATTCACTCCTTAACTTAAGGTATAGGGAGGAAATGCAGAATAGCGGCACAAATCTAAACGGCTCGACCTAGGCTCGTGATAGTCGGTGTATAGCATCATGGTAGGAAAAGCCATCACTGTGCTGAAATTGGAGGTCACAGGTCAAAGGTCAATGGGCACAGGGCAGATTTTAGACATTTTCTGAGGACATGGTCTGACGGAGCGATTGAAAAACTTTTTTGTTTCAGCGGTGACCTAGCATTTTTATGGCTTTATTAAAAGGACCATGAAATGTCCCTTCTGCTGACATGCGAAGAGTAAGTGTCGGATAACCTTTTGACCCTCAAGAGGAGGGTTAAACATGGATTTGTTGACTGTTAACAAAGGACTGAACTGCTTTTGCTATTAGAGCCCCCTCTCCCCACCCTCCCCCTTCCCCCTCATTCGGGACACGCGAGGTTTCCCGAAGTTATAACACTTCGAGTGATTATGTTCATGCAGCAGTAAAATTGGGCGGCCCTCATGCCGTCTCTATCAAATTTCATCCGTCTCATCCAAGAATAGGTTGTTCAAAAGACGGGTAGACGGGTCTCTGGTTAACACAGTGGACCCATCACAGGTTGGTTTATAACAAACAACAAGCTGCGGATCCACCTCGCAAGCTGGTGTAGGAATATGTGATCCGGATCAATAATCAACCCAAACAATAGCGTAGGCAGATAAAAAATTAATATTTATTTTTCGGGGGCTACTTTTCAAGCTCACGTGCATGAAAATAGCACTCTGAAATTTGGTTTGCATTGAACTCTATGCAAATTTACGAGGGCTCTTTTTGGCATTTCCGGGGCTCTTTTTGGCATTTCGGGGGCTAAATCGCCCCGAGCCCCCGTGTATTTTTTTCACTGAGCGTAGGATCACATGATTCGTGTGATCAGGATCATATGATCTGCCCAAACAAACACACCCTAATCACAATGCATTACATCTATATATGTCATTTCAGGTTAACTGGCTCTGGAGTACTATGGGTGCTTCACACAGCATCTTCACCGAATCTGAACTCACTGATTATCAGAATCTCACTTACTTATCAAAAAGTGAGATCTTGCATGTACACAAGCGGTTTTGTCAAATGGGTAAAGGTTTCACCAAATACACCAAAGTCAAGAAAGATGTCGTCCTTCAACTGCCCGAGTTCAAGGTTGGCATAAATTCGTGCAGAATAGACGTTTTTAAAATTAAAATTAGCAAGTCATTTATAGCATATTGAAGCATCATATATTTTAATTTTTATATTTAAGTAATTATCAACAGGGGCTAATCTATGGCTGCTTAATATGGGCACCCATGGCGAGCGTAGTGAGCGTCCCAAAAAATTGGGACTGTTGGTGAGCGCAGCGAGCGTAAAATATTTTTTAGGTATAGGGCCCATAGATGTGTATAATAACATTAAAATTTTATTCAGATAATAGCTTATAGATGAGTATTTTATTATAAAACAGTGCCTACATAACGATAGAAACATGGAGATTTAATTTTCACAAATTTCAGAGCTCTGCCAATTTGGGCGTTTTATGAATTTTGTAATTTGGGCGTTTTGCTAGGGGTCGACTCGTAATTTGGGCGCCGGTATTTGGTATGAAAAATGACTTGGATTAGGCCCTGTTCAATATATATATCACAGCTCAGCACATTGAAGAATCCGAGATACAGTAAAAACCCGCGTATAAGAACATAGATTTTTCCAAGTTAGCCTCGACATGTTCTTATATAAATGGTGCTTACTGAAAAATTAGGCTCAAAAGGTTCTTAAATAGGTTCTTAATTGTTTCTACTTTTAATATGTACTAGCTGAAACCCGCGCTACGCGCGGGCTTAGTGACTGTGATGCATGTGTTACCAGTACAGTAGTGTTATGTGTAAGGTGTTATATGGAGAGTTTAGTTGTTGCACATGTTTGTTTTTTTATGGTTGAGATAATATTATATGATATATATAATATAATATTATATTATTAATAGATATGATTGTTATTGTTGAGCATTGGCATTGGCATTGGCATTGTTATTGCATCGATATTGTTGAGCTCGTCTTTTTTATTTTACCTGTGTTTCTTTTTAAGTCTTCATCTGCATGGAAAATTAAGAACCTACTTTAAAATCTTAGCCTAAAACAGGTTCTTATGTAAAGGGGTCTAAATGGGAAATTTTAGCCTAACATGTTCTTAAAATCTATGTTCTTATACGCGGGTTTTTACTGTATGCAAGTTTACAGTTTTTACAAGTTAACTTTTTTTTAAACGTAATTCATACATTTCTTCTACACTATTTAAAATTTGAACCACTAGTGAAATTCGAATGTTTCAACCTTTTCTATTAACATTCTTAGATTATACTTATTATAGCCATATATACACATCTGACATTCAACCGTTTTTTTGCCGATCACAATAAAAAGTTTTGACTCGGCGGTTTAAAATGGACTCGGTCGGGTTAGCGGAAACAAACGTCTTTTTAAGGCCTTATATAATTAGTGACGATTCTATAGATGTGACCGCTATCACAAGTTTGTCTGGTGTTTGCTGACGTAAGCCTTTATATACTGCCAGGTGAACCCATTCGCTGATAGGATCCTGCAGGTGTTTTCATCGGCCAGTGACGACGCGCTCAGCTTTGAGGACTTTCTCGACATGATGTCGGTATTCAGCGATGAGGCGCCGCGATCCGTCAAGGTCGAATACGCGTTCCGAATCTACGACTTTGACGAGGACGACACAATCTCCGAATACGACCTTGAGGAGGTCATCAGCCGACTAACTGGCAGTCAGTCGCTTAGCAATGAGGACATGAAGCAACTCATCGATAATGTGTTCGCAGAGGCTGACCTGGACGAGGACAGGTGTCTGTCGTTTGCTGAATTCGAGCACGTCATCTCGAAGGCACCCGACTTTGTCAATACGTTCCGCATTCGCGTGTGAGCTTAGCGCAAATTTTGTTTGCGACAACCGCGTGTTGACAGATTAAATTGATAGATGGTTTAACATATAGTGCAATTAAAAGTTTCGAATGTGTGTGCATGTTACATGTAAGAACAGAGACCAACTTCTTCAACAAATTCTGCATTTGCACGTGAGTGTGGTGAGAGAATTTCGACAGCGAAGATTCGACACGCTTTGTGGATAGCTGTTTCAAAACAAGTAAAGCGAGTGTGAAAAGTTTTTGTGCACCCGTGTGTCAAATATAAGAACAATTCTGGACAAGCGACTTGAGTTAACAAGGAAACAGGCAAACATGGATGAAAATCAGGAGAGTGGCAACCCTTCATTAGTAGATGGCCAGAAGGTGTCAGACGACAGCACCACAGTGTCGTCTGCCATTCTCAACGGCGCTAATAGTTCTCTTGTAACCGCGGCGACGGCAGAGGAGCTGCACCACCCCACAATGGACGACGTCATAGAATCATCAGAGGAGACCTTCGCCGTTGTCCCGGCCGCACCCAGCACGCCACCTGGTGGGGACAGTGGCGACAATGAGCTGGTGGTCTTGGATCCTGATCATCCGCTGATGCAGAGGTTCCAGGCGGCACTGCGGCAGCACCTGCAGAAGCAGCATGATAAGCTAACGATGGAGCTACGAGAGACATCCGAATCTTTGAGGTACATTCTTCTGTCACTCTGCCAAGTAATTCAGCCAGTTACCGTACTCCTGACGCGTCGCCAATTCTTTTTTTTGTTAATTGTGCATAAATTATAATTCCTGTGCATAAATATTGTATCAGTTGCTTTTATCTGTTTTTATGCTTTCAGAAATCGAATGAAGGATAGGGAAGATATGGGTGTGACTCTCTACAATGTTCAGCAGGAACTGGCCAGACAGCAGATGTTGTTGGAAAAGGAAATGGATGAATTTAGCAGGTAAAGAGTACCTGTGTTAAAAAATTCTTGCTTACTCAAAAGTTTGTCATGTGCGTAAAAGGTTAACTGTTGCTTTCTGACATTTTCGCCTAGTAAGACATCATTGTTTAGTATATGCATCCCAAATAGAGAAAAGTTGTATACGAATGAAAGCTGTTTATGTGAATCCTATGTTTCTATACACCATTGTTCACATAAATACTTGTTTCAGATTGAATGATGATAGAGGGCATCTCGAAGCCGAAGTTAAGCAGGTGATGGACTCCCAGAAGCAATTGAAGACCACTGTTTCGCAAAAGCAAGTTAAAGGTGCCGAAATGCAGTCAGAGCTGGACATGCTTACATCAAAGCTGGCTCATCTATCCCAAGCTAATACTGATCTTAGGTACACATTGCCAATACCTAGTACTTTTATTATGACCATTGACGTATTGAGTCATTGGCATAGGTTTGTTTATTTCTCTACCTAATGGATTGATCAACAGATCAAAAGAGCTAGTCAGTATTTATGTTTAAAGTAAATATTACTAACTGTCAGAATCGTCCAGTTGGTGTACAAGCAAATTTTACAAGTTGACGCCGATAGTCAGTCCCGCCCATGCAGTGAAAAAAATACACGGGGGGGCTTGGGGCGATTTAGCCCCGAAATGCCAAAAAGAGCCCCGGAAATGCCAAAAAGAGCCCCCGTAAATTTGCATAGATTTCAATGCAAACCAAATTTTAGAGTGCTATTTTCATGCACGCGGGTTTAAAAAGTGGCCCCAAAAAATAATTTCCTTGCGCCTGTGGCTTCTGGGTGCAGCATAGGCCACGGATGAATCCTCGTCATCTCGCTCGGTTTTGGGCGAGTTGTCTGATGGTGTCCCAGGTGTGTCCCTCAGCTTTGATTTCGGCTTCGACCGACCCCCTCCATGTAGTTTTTGGACGGCCCCTTCCCCGTTGACCTTGTGGGTTCCACGCCAGTGCTTGTCTGGCGATGGAGTCTCACCCCTGGCCCACCAGGTTGGGAGTTGGGCGTAGGGCTAACAACTCTGCTCCGTAACAAGAAATAAGTTACTGAAAAACACTGATGCCGATAGCTGGTCTGTAAACCGTGACTACCAAAGCTCTAGCGAAGATCAGCAGATCTCGTGAGCTGTGCTTACTTGTAGGTCAGACATAGCTGTGATGAAGCGAGTGGCCAGAAAGGCAGACAGCGAGATCAGCCAGTCTGAGACGGACAAGCTACGGCAGGATCTACTCGTCAACAAGCTGACACAGTCTGTCGAGCGGCTGAGAGAGGCCATTGCTATGTATGATGTGCAGCGCAAGGCGCAGGCTGGGGAAAGCAACGCTACGAAACAGGCGAGTATTACCAGGGAAAAGCATGCACACATGCAGTCACCCCTCCCCGCGCACACACACACACACACATGCAGTCACCCCTCCCCGCGCACACACGCACGCACACATGCAGTCACCCCTCCCCGCGCACACACACACACACACATGCAGAGGCGTGCAGTCACCCCCCCGCGCAACACCACGCACGGCACACAAATGCAGTCACCCCCTCCCCGCCAACACACACGCACACAATCAGTCACCCCTCCCCGCGCACAACACGCACGCACACATGCACGTCACCCTCTCTTGCGCACACACAGACATGCAACACATGGCATCACCCCTCCCCGCGCACACACACATCGCACACATCATGTCACCCTCCCCACACACACACACACACACACCACACACAGCGCCACGCATGCAGTCAGCCCTCCCGCACACACACACGCAGCACATGGCAGTCACCCCCACACCACCCACACAGTCCCACACAATCACACACACAACACAACCACCCACCCAATTCCCACACCAACACAACATGCAGTCCACCCCTCCCACACACACCACACACGCCGCAGCATGCAGTACACCCTCCCTACACACATCTCGCACCACACGCACACACACACACACACACACACACACACACACACACACACACACAAACATCACATGCTTGCAGTCCAACCCCTCCCCTACACACACACACACGCACACACCCACAACAGCTGCATCCACCCCTCCCAACAACCACACCCACACGCACGCACACATGCATGTCACCCCTCGCCACACACACACACATCACACACACACCACAGCCACACACACACACACAACACACACACACAAGCGCCGGGCGCGCGGGGCAGCACACCACGCACGCCCCGATGCAGCACGAGCAGCAACACACAGCACGACACGGACCACATGACAATGACACACACGACACAACACGCACAGGCGACATACACACCACACAGACACACACAAGGGGGCGCGGCGCGCGGGGGCCCGCGAGAGAGGGTGCAAGTCACCCCCCCGCCAGGCATGGGGGACGCAACAACAAGACAGACACACACAAACACCGAGGCGACCACGGAGCGGCCCACGGCACACACACAGCACACACACACACACACACACACACCACACACACACACACAGCACCACACACACACACACACATACACACACACACGGCGTGGAGCGCCCGTCACACACACCAACCATACACGACCACACAGGGGCAACATTCAGTCCACCCTCCCCACACACACCACACACACAACACACACATGCAGTCACCGCCCTCCCACACACCAACGGGAGAACACACCAAAACGGCACACACACATGCAGTCACTACGCGCGCCGGCGCGAGGCGAGGCGACACAGGGGGGGGGGGGGGGGGGGCAGACACACGATGGTGGCAGTCACTCCCTCCCCATCAGCTGAGGGGGTGGGTGGGCCCGCAGGGGCGACGAACACCAGTCACACACACGTGCTCCGCGAGGCCGGGCACACAGCAAACCACACACCCAACACACACACACACACATACACACACACAGCGGCAGGACGGGGGCACGGGCACACACATGCAGTCACCCTCCCCAACACAGCACAACGCACACATGCGTCACCCTCCCCACGACAGGAGGTCACACAACACACACACACACAAGCGCAACACACAACACACAACATCAGTCACCCCCTCTCCCACACACACAACCGCATCGCACACATCAGTCACCTCCCACACACTACACACAACAGCCACGCGCACACACTGCAGTCATTCCCTCTCCCACAACACACAACCACACACAACATGCAGTCACCCCATCCCGCACACACACACACGCACGCACACATGCCAGTCCACCCCTGCCCTACACACACACAACAATGCACACCATGCATCCACCCCTCCCCAACACACCACACAGCACACCACAAACATGCAGTCACCCCTCCCCACACACGACAGTAGCACCACACAGCAGTCACCCTCCCCATCACACACAGCCACACACACATGCAGTCACTCCTCCACACTCACACACAGCAACACAACACAACGCATGCATAGTCCCCCTCACCCCACCAACACACAACCACCGGGCCGCACACATGCAGTCACCTTATTATATATCCAACACACACACACCCACGACCACACATCATGCAATCCCCCTCCCACACCACACAACACAGCACACAGCCAGCACACAACACCAACACCACACACGCACACACACAACACACACAACACAACACACACATGCAGTCACCCTCCACACACACACAACACACACCATGATGCAGTCATCCCCTCCCCACACAGCACACGGCCACACACGCAACATGCAGTCACCCCTCCCCACCCACACACTCACACACACCACACATGCATTCACCCCCCACATCCACACAACACCACACACACACCTGCAGTCACCCTCCCCATCACACACACACACAACACAGCACACATTGCAGGTCCACCCCTCCCCACACACCACACAGAGCACACATGCAGTCACCCCCCCAACACACTCACACCACACACATGGCAGTCACCCCCCCCACGCTAACCACCAACACACCACACATGCAGGCCCCTCCCCTACGCACTAACTACCTACGCAACACATGCAGTCACGACCTCCCCACGCAACAGGCACGGCACACATGAGTCACCCCTCGCCGCGCACACACACACCACACACATCAGTCACCGCCTCCCCGCCACACACGCACGCACTACATGCAGTCACCCTCCCCATCACACACACACAACGGCGCAGACAATGCAGTCACCCCTTCCCCACACACCGTGCACGCACACGACGCACACCACGCACATGCCCCACACCCACACGCACGCACACGAGCGCCGTGCACCCGCATACTTTTGTATATGATGGTATGTTTGTGTATGTTCAGGCCTCAGCGAAGCGCAGATGGAGATAGAAAACGATCAACGTGGAAAAGAAGCAGTTATTTCTCACAGTGGAACAGTAAGTGAAGCGGGGTATGCTGCAGGAGAGACGAAAGCACAACGGCCGCCATGCAGGTAAACATCCGTGCTGCCATCTACATATCCACTCCCTCTAAAGTCTAAACCTATGAAGTGGAGACCTGGGGCCCGTTGCCAGAAACTTCGTAAAGTTACGATTAATTTTAAGTCTAATGTTAATGTTAAGGTTAATTTTAAATAGCGTCCCAGAAACAACTTAACAACTTACGTAAGTGAAGAACCTTACGATAACTAGGAACTTCAATCAGCAAGGCTTGCTGATTGGATGGGAAATGATCCAAAATCAAATTATGACACATTTATTGAACATCACAGTAATTATGCATATTATGATGGCCTAAACACATATAAATAATATTTATGAAAAAATATTACGGTGGCATGAATTAATGTCTGCACAGACAAGACAAATTCTCACACTGAACACGAGACGCCGAGATCGTGCAAGCGTTACAAACCTGTGAAACAAGAGAAGCAAATGCCATAACGTCATTTATAAAATGTATTGTTTTTTATTAGCGTAGAAATTAATGATTTTGAACGTGTTTTTTCAAGAAAAACAACATTTTATTCGATTATTATAAAAATAATGTCATGATAAATTGTAATTCGTGTGTAAAATGTGTTATATTCTAACTTCAATATTAAAGTAAGGAGGGTCTAGGATCTTAA